CAAATAACTGTTATAATAGGTGTGAAGTATTATCTCACTGCAGTTTTTATTTTCATGTCTCTAATGACTGGCCACTTCATCACTCATTGGGGAATCTTCTGTGTTTGCTGTAGATTTGAGTCTTATGGACAAAAGTCTTCTCTGCTTTCAGAGCTAGAGATTTTGGAGTCTGCCTTTTAAGTGCAAATCTGAAAAATTAGAAAACCAAATGTAAATTCCAAATCCTTTTGTGCCTCATGGAGAAAAGAGGAGTTAATATATTGCCCCTCCTCAAAGCATGGTGCAGTACAACTCAGAAGGTTGGTTTCAGAAAATATTTAAGATGGAAGCTTAGAGGAACTTGTTAGTGAAATTGGTTATGAGTGAGATGAAGGATTTGGAGAAATAAAACTGACTCCAGGATAATAAGCTGAGTGCCCAGGGAAATATGGTCGCACCCAGGGTGACAAGTAGAGAACACGGACAGCAGGTGTGCAGCATAGCAGGTGTGTAGGCAAGGTGATTTGTTCATGTTGGGTCATGTTGGTCTCACAGGATGGTTGGAGACATCCACACAAGGTGTGTGAGCACTTACACTGACTTTGATACTTGAGAAAGAATCCTCCCCTGGAGGATAATTTTAAGAATCACTAGTCTGTGGTGTTTCATATGATAGCAACTATTTCTTGAAAATGTCAGTTAAAGCAAAAAAGGTAAAAATTTTTTTAAAAAAATAGACATAACTTAAAAATCCTTCTCTCACATAATACATCTCCCTCTCTTTTAAAATGAGATCTGTATCATTATCTTGAGCAGAGACCAACTGGATAGTCAGTTTCTCCATAGGGAAAAAAATTTAAAAATATTTATGAGTCAATCTAAACACCAAATCCTTTTTGATGCTCAAGTTTTTCTAGTATTTTATGATAGACTTTCTCACTCTTAAACAGAATAAAATGTGTTACCTATGTGAATTACTGATTCTTTCCAAAACAGTGACATAGTTTTCAACAATTTTTCCACCGATGGACATACCATTTTAACTAAACTACTGAGTCATAATATCAAATTCAACTGTCACAAAATATCTTTTAAAAATACATTTGAGTCATTCAATAGTGACAGCAGAAATGAGAGAATAAAGCATTCAACAGATCTCCACTTTGTGTTTGTAATATAATATAAGAGGAGGATAAAAGACTGACAAAAAGGAGCAAATAGCTCAAAACCTAGTAATACTATCTCAATCTACAGGTGTCTATAGAATTCAGTAGGTAATCTCAGCTAGTTTCTTCAAACTACCTCTTCCTTACAGTATTCCATTTCATCACCTCCACCAGACAGAATTGTGTATTTGGTGTATTGACTCGAAACTTCATTGCCACAGGATTTGAATCTTTAATAGTCTCCTCTCTTTATGTTTCTATAATTTTCTATTGACCTATTACTATGCGAGAGACTAACAGGAGTGAGTAGTGGACCTCCTCATGGCCTCCACGATATAGTACCTTCCCCCCCCCAGTCCAGTATTTACAATTTTTATTTTATAATGGCATGCTGCCATGCCT